TAGGTTGTCGCGTTGTTAATATGTTGTTTCTTTAAGTTTTGAACTACTCGGTGTACTAGGATACAACAATGAAAAGAGATGAATACAATGACTCGTAGTTGTAGGTTGTCGCGTTGTTAATATGTTGTTTCTTTAAGTTTTGAACTACTCGGTGTACTAGGATACAACAATGAAAAGAGATGAATACAATGACTCGTAGTTGTAGGTTGTCGCGTTGTTAATATGTTGTTTCTTTAAGTTTTGAACTACTCGGTGTACTAGGATACAACAATGAAAAGAGATGAATACAATGACTCGTAGCTGTAGGTTGTCACGTTGTTAATATGTTGTTTCTTTAAGTTTCTAACTACTCGGTGTACTAGGATACAACAATGAAGAGAGATGAATACAATGACTCGTAGCTGTAGGTTGTCACGTTGTTAATATGTTGTTTCTTTAAGTTTCTAACTACTTGGTGTACTAGGATACAAAAATGAAGAGAGATGAATACAATGCCTCGTAGCTGTAGGTTGTCACTTTGTTAATATGTTGTTTCTTTAAGTTTCTAAATTTTCAGTGAACATGCAGGTTCCTTCTGTATGGTAAATGATATTTATGTGGTGAAATTGGTGTTCACAAAACATACAAGTCAAAGTTTAGTATGTGCCATCTCAATACCGCTCAAACTTCAACCAACAGATAAATCATTGTTATTTTATGCTCTCCATTACTCTTATGATGTATGAATATAATATCATATATTGTTGGTATTGTATCCTAACTATAACTCTTATGATATATGAATATAATATCATATATTGTTGGTATTGTATCCTAACTATAACTCTGATGATATATGAATATAATATCATATATTGTTGGTATTGTATCTTATCTATAACTCTGATGATATATGAATATAATATCATATATTGTCGGTATTGTTTTATCTATTACTCTGATGATATATGAATATAATATCATATATTGTTGGTATTGTATCCTAACTATAACTCTGATGATATATGAATATAATATCATATATTGTTGGTATTGTATCCTAACTATAACTCTGATGATATATGAATATAATATCGTATATTGTTGGTATTGTATCCTAACTATAACTCTGATGATATATGAATATAATATAATATCATTGTTGGTATTGTATCCTAACTATAACTCTGATGATATATGAATATAATATCGTATATTGTTGGTATTGTATCCTAACTATAACTCTGATGATATATGAATATAATATCGTATATTGTT